TTCCACTTGTGCTCGATGTAGCGCTGGAAATCAGCTAAGCGTTCATTATCGTGGACGCATTCTGATTTAATAATCCGGCAGGACAAACGCTCCCTCGCACTCCTGGATACTCACCGCGCTTTCAGCAATGGATCGGGCTCTCAAGCTCACCCCGAATCGAATCTCTGTATTTTTTAACTGATATTCTGGGCCCAAATCCTACTGTTTGTGTCGACGTGCAAAACAACACGTGCCGATACTGTACTATACGCAGATGTGGGTGGAGGAATGGATTAGGTTTTCTTCCCTGGGAGGACTGTTTACTGGGAGGACTTTTCAACTTAAGCTCGGGCATCCGGTATTTTACTTCAAGTTATTTAATGGTGGGAGGTTGAACTGCAACCTAGGTTGCACCTAGGTTGCAGTTGCAAATTTCTCTGAACCAGCCCTACCATTGTGCATGAACCATTTTCATTAACGTCTTTCATTCATAGATCCCTGAGCGACGACGTCCAGATAAATAATGGCGGAATGATCTTCCGTGGAGACTTGACTCATCACCACCACAGGGCCCAGTCCCCTTTCTTCAAGTCTAATGAGAGTGAATCCCAGACCGCTGTTCAACGACACGACTCTGGAGCAATTTCTACAACTCCCTCAATGATGCAGAGGAGGATAAAAGTACGCTACAGTCATCTACAAGTCTATCCGTTTGGTAACCTATTTACTTGTGAGTAATAGATATCTCGGGAAAAGAACACAGCAGAAGTGACAAGTTCTGGGGTCCTAAATACAGCAGGGTAAAACTGCGGAGTGTCCAGGAACACTTGGAAGACACGGAATATATACTTTGTGAAGAGTTGCACCACCCTTTTTGATGCAACCATTTTGTTGGGCACCACCCTATAAATTGCTCATGTCTATGTGTTAAAATGACCGGTGTCCACATCCGTCACTAATAGCAAAAGACCCTCGCAAACGCACAGGGGATTCTTTCTAATTACTGAGTACTTGTACAATAACCTTGGGAAGCACTATATCTAAGTAAGTGGGGCAATGGAGAAAATACCAGGCCAGGTGCAGTGAATGCAAGGAACCAGGGGGTAGGGTATGGTACCTGTTGCCACAATATAGCACCTGGAAATTGGCAGTGGCAGCGGTGATAGCGAGCGAGCAACCCGAAATTCCAACACTATGGATCACAGGTGGTGAGCATGTACAGGAAGGCCGATCTGAGGGAAACAAGACATGGTTCAGTGGTGCAATTGAGCAGCATGTGTACTTCATCCTCAACTCTGTTCCAGCAGAATTGACACAGCCTGAGGTGATGCGGCACTGGATCCCAGTAGCAGGCAGGATAGCACAAGTGTTCAACATCAAGATTGTGATCCCCGAGTAGCAAGCCAGTGATTGCTTTGCAGTGTGCTGGCACAGCAATGTCTACGAAATAGTGGTGAAGGCAGTGTGCAACCAGTCGGAGTCTGCTGGCTTCTCCAGTCTCAAGGTGATTGCATAGGAGATGGGTCTTGACAAGGTGGTCGAAAGTTGGACACTTTCATACTAAGTATAGTGCCTAGTAAGGCCAATCTTGAATGTGAATATACATGAACCAAGTACCCAGGCTGGAGAGTAGCACCAGTATATTGTTGCACCCTGAAGCAAATTTGCATTTATTGACCCAGACCTGCGAGAAGGTATTTGGTAGCACCAACCTGGTAAAGGGGAAGTGTGGTGGACATACAAGCATGGGCTTGCTCCATCTGAGATACAGGGCACCTGTTGAGGTGTACGTTCTCCTTGTGAGGCAGGAGGCAGGTCCAAGAAATAGTCAATGCAAAGCCCCTATATGACAACTTCTAGGAATCTGGCACAGGAGACCGAGCAATGCCTTGTAGATGTCCAAGACAGCCCAAATGATGTCCAAGATACCCCAACTTTAATGGCCTGCCCTGCAAATCGAAAGGGATCTGCATCCCAGTAACTGCTTGTCGCAATCAATGAGAGAACCCCCATGGCTTCAGTGGCTCACAAAGAATTTAACACTCAGAGCTGATGTGAATTTGGTAGGCTGAATATCCACTAATTTCACTCTGACACTCACCCAATCTGAGTTGAGTACTACAGTTACACGCAACAATTTTCCATGAAACAGGGGTCCAATCACCAGTATCTTCAAAAAAGCTAGGCAGTGCACAGGAAAACCAAGAAATTTCCATGAAGTGGGGAACAGCACAGAGAAACCCAGAAATATCTGCAAAGCAGCACATAGTACGAGAACAGCAACAAACTGCTGCAAAACAGGGGTCAGAGTGTTACACTGTATACTGCCTCGTGCAGCGTTTGACCTGAGAGGCACTATTCTTCCTTTGAACTTCATGATTTTTGCTGGCTTGAAAAGGCTGGTTATCATGGCAGATACATGGCACCCGAATGTAAGGGCAACCTTAAGCTCAGCACAGAGGCGCGGAAACTAGTGGAGGAATCTGAAGTAGTTTAGTAGGCAGTACTATACAGAGCAAGTAATACCCACCTAGCCGGGGAATCCGAAGAGAAGAAAGCATGAGGATTTCCATACTAGGTGAAGGTTTATAAACTAAGAGGTACTAGTTATAGTAGCACATGTCCAAAGGGATCTGCAATGATCCCAGGCCTGGTTGCATAACATATGCCAGTGGAGTAGTACTGTTACATCCCACACCACCACGGACTCATCCGGACCTCATCCGACCACTTCCGGTATACTCCGATATACATCCGTTTACATTCCGATAACCTCTGGTCATCTCCCGGTCAACTCCCGGTCAACTCCCGGCCTACGCCGGTTTACCTCTGGCTCAACCCTGGACGACATCCGGACTCTGACCGGATGACTTCCAGTTATCATCCGCTCATCTCTGTCCTCTTCCGGCTTAACGTTCCGGTCTTCTCTGGAACGCTCCGGCCCTTATCAGACTTCATTCGGCCCTTTGGCCGATGATGAGTTCTCACGCAACCGTCTATCTGCCTTAGCGGTAGATCTCCACATGCACTCCTGTTATGCACACATGCTCTATGTTCTCAATCCGTCATCTCCCTTGTACTTATACAAGAAGCTATGTTCTCCTTTTATTCTTCCCTTGTTCTTCAATCAATTTCCTTATATATACTTACCTCCACTATTACTATAAATTGTCTAGATTACGATCATGTACTTTAGATTGATTATTAACGTCATTTGGCTTTCCGTCATTCTCCATCGTCTTGACACTTCCTCCAACGTCCGAGTACTCCGGCCGACGGACTCAACTTCCGTCTTCCATCTGACGACCGGACTTGTCGAAAACCTTATCCCGAACATCCGGACTTATACATCCGTGAACTTCCCTACTTGTTGGACTCCATCTCGGACTTCGGCATAACTTCCGGATTACCGGACATCGCCCGGCCTTCAGCACATCACCTCCGGTTTACCGGACTTTGTCCGGCCTTCGGCATTACTCCTCCGGCTTACCGGCCTTCACTTCCGGTAACCCTCGGCCGTCTCCCTTTCCCTCCTCCTTCATTCCTAGCCAACCAGATAGTACGCTCACCCTTAAACCTAGCTGTGGTGTGGTGGTCCATACCCGTGTTCCGGAATCCTCTCCTGTTTACTTCCGTTGACCTCCGGCATTCCGAGCCCGGTCATAACCCATCCGGAACCTATCCCCTCTCCTTCCTTTCTCTCCTCCCTCAACACGGATATAACAAGTACCCACCTTCATCACTTCGTTACTTCACTTAAGTTTGCAAAGTTTCATCACTTTGATGGAATGTTCTGAAAGTTTGTCACTTTGGTGAGTTTGCAGGAAATTTTGTGAGATGTACAAATTAAACACATCAATCCGGCCATTATTTCCTCCTCCCCTTCCATATAGATACCTTACCCAAACACTAACCACTAACCTGAACCAGTAACCTCTAACCTCTAACTGTAACCAGCTAACCCGAAATGCTAACCTCTAACCTCTAACTACCCAACCCGAACCTAACTGACCAAGTTCGGTGAGGTGTTGATCCAATCACTTTCTGATGTGCCAAGGAGTTGCTGCTTGACAAGCCTAGGATACTAAATCATGAACTTTCATATACTTAGAAAGTGATGAAAACCATGAACTTTCACAAATTCCCATCAAAGTCACAAAGTTTCTCTACACTAAGCGAAGTAACTAAGTGACAAAGATGGTGCAGATTCTGCCAATGCGAGTGACTAGAGGGCCCAGCAAAACGGATGCCAGAGGGATGGAGGGTGAAGTTCCAGGTGTGTGTGGGGCAGACAGATGTGCTGGAGGAGTTTCCGGATGGAAAGTCAGACGAAGGGCCGGAACTGGACGGAGCAACAGAGGAGTGGCCAGATGAAGGGTTCCCCTGACACTGAAGGGTGAAATTGTGGTGATGATCTATTTTAAGGTATCTTAAATAATCCTGGAGACAAGTCTAATTACTTTCCTTAGACAGTTCATGTAAGGGATGGTATATACCTTTTCGTTACTCTTTACGTACAAGTCACCTGTAATGGTCACGTAGTCACATAATCATCTTTTATCACAAATTACATCTACCACTTCATCTTCCGGTCTCTCGTTGAGTACCTCTGATTCCAGGAAGACACGGGAGAGTTGGATTTTGCCTTGCCTGGCATAAGGCATTAGGCGATCATTGCACATGAAGCGCTATGCAGCTATAACTGTCTCATACACGTTACGCTACACTACTGATTCACGAAATTATGACAATAGGCAGTCTATTCTCAGTTCTTACGAAACTTCGAAGAGCTAAGGAGACTACCATTACGAGTTCACAAAGTTTTGGTTCCAGGTAGTCTCTTGAAGAGAATAGACAGCCATCTACCACTCAGTACCACTTGATCCCCCCGCCAGAGCAAGTGTACAATGTTTACCCATTGTGAGTGCTCCTCGAGCCTTAAAGTTCACATCAATTGTCTCGAAAAAGAAGGTGGTTGTAATTTTGGCGTAAAAAGATGGACTGCACCAAGTGCAAAAGAATGGCATCACCGTGGATTGAACACGGGACCTTCAGATGTCTAAGTCACGTGACACGCGGCTTTCTTCAGTCTGCTGCTCTCCCAGCTGAGCTATGACGCCGTGGAATTGACGGGTTATCGGATAGTACAAGGCTGCCGGGCTAGTTGTTTCCGAAACAAAAACGATAGAAAAATACTCAAGTGCTGCTCTCACAACAGAATCCCACAGTCCAGTTCACAAGAGGTGTTCCACCAGCTCACCATTCAGATATCTACAATCCTACTGCTCTTCCAGCTGAGCAATGGTTATTTGCTTTGGACTTTCTGTTTCCGGGAGTTGGCTTCTTTGATGGGTTTATTTAGGTGCATGCGGCGGAGATTTAAATATGAATTTGGAGCGAACTTACCCCGAGATTGCCCAGCTGTAGATCTGGAGACCCGAGATTGTCAATCGCAAAGGAAAAGGCAATTCCGTGTCCTTCGCCGAATCCAAGAGCAAAATACCTTTTCCGAGATGCACCGTCAGACATCGGGAATGGTTTGAGCTCAAAATACGAGGTGCCTGAGACAGGAATCGATAACTGCCATATCCGGATGCAAAGCGGCACGGGTGTTTGGCCTTGTTGTTTGCGCCCGGTTTGTTTGTTCGCGATCCCTTTTAGGCCACGGTCGACGATCGCCACCGAATTCTGACAACACTCGAAAAATGCCGACTGCGGATGAAGTGAAACAACTGGAGGGCGTCTCTGCCGCACAGCATCGTTTCCGTCTTGCTGTCAACACACCGGAGGAGAACAATGGCTCGAGCAGCGCCGCCGCCGTTGCCAATCCCCCGCGTCCGGCCCCCGACCAAGGCAACGTGCCCTTTATGGTAGGCCTTCTGCGGAGCAGGGATCTGGTTTGTCTGACTTCAATTACTAGTATGGTCAGCTACCGTTCCGCAATTCGAGATACAAGGAAAAGTGAGTTTCATCTTGGTTTAGACGCCCGTGCGGTTGTCGCTGGCAACTGGTGTTTATTATCGCGCAGGTTTCAGAATCTGCGAGAAAAGTATGACCGGGTCATCACAGTGCGTGGTTTCATCTCCACACGGGCATTTACATCCACCGATTGACTGGTTTGCGGTGCAGAAACAACGAGAGTACCAGCATGACCTCGACATTGCCACCGCGAAGATCAAGAAACTGCAGGCAGAGAACGAGTACGAGTTCCTATTTTTGTCCGTTTCGTCCGCGTGCAACAATTCACCAACGCCGATGAACACAGTCTGCTCCTCGACGCGATGAATCTTGCCGCGGCGCACCAGCCGTCGATGTTCGGGCTTCTCCCGTCATCCCATCCACCATCAGACATGGCCCCAGGTGGTCCACACGACGCGTTCGCAGGGCCAAGCAACAGCGCGGCCCCGCATCATGCGGAGCGCCCGCCCCCGCGCCACGTCAACGGGAACGGGAGCAGCAATGGCACCGGCACCAGCGCCAGCAGCAGCAACAACAGCGCTCTCGGCCTCCAGACGAACGGCCATGAGGTACGTTCGCCGCCCGCAACCGGGTGCTGCATCAGATATGAAACTAAAATTCTCCAGCTACGTGAATCGCGCCCCCACACGTCGCGGCAACCCTCGATCGAGTTTATCCCCCACGACATGAACTTGAACGGGCGAGCCTCATGACCCTGGGTGTTCTTCTCGTTCAAATTTTTTTGCATAAGTTACCTCCTCCGTACTTACTTAATCCCGCATCTGTATTCCGCTCCCTACGCATGTACCCTATCGTAACTACATTCTCTGCCGCGCCGTCCGGCGTCTCACGCAGTCTTGTTCTTTACATTCCGTGTCTCTCGTCGGTCCAAATCCGTCTCCTATTCCTTCACTCTCTCATGGCATCTCATTCCAGTCTAAATTCTCGCACATACATAATCTCGGTTTCGTTTCGTTTCATTCTTGGGAGACGACGCAGTGGTAGTACAAATTTGATATATCTATGGGCTTTATTCCCCGTTCTTCCCCCGCGCGCCGCAAAATACCTAAAACAAGGATGGATAGGAAAACAAGGGCCACGCGCACCAGATAGGTATAGATGACGATGTAGTGCGGAGCGCGGAGCAAGTGGGTTAGATGGGGGGTTCGTTGGTCGGTTGGTAGATGATGCGGTGGTGTACAGGATGAGCAGCAGGGGTGTGAAAACGTGAGTAAAGGAGGAATAAACAACGAGAGCAGAAGGTATATAGCACAACAGCAGCGGACGAAAAGAACGGCGCGCAAAGGAGGGGTTTCGTTTTTTTGTTGGTTATGTGTCCCAAGTGAGGAAAAACCATCTATAGGGAGGGGTGTTCGTAAAGAGGAAAAGAGAACGGGGTGGGATAGAGCACAACACAAGTAGGCGAGATGTCCAAGATATACACGCAGCAGGGAGATACACACAACAGACTCTGGGACAGATCGGGAAGGAATCAGGGGGCTGGGCTGCACGCCCATTTTTGTTCTGCCGTCAACGGCTTGGCGCATTGCTCGGCACTGACGCGAGCCCAAGGCCGCCGCCAGGGCCAGGAATGCTGCGCGCCATGTTCCCGATATTAGGGATCCCGCTGCCGCGAGGGCCGTGCCCGATATGCGCGAGACCACTTCCGCTGCGCGGCCGCCCGCCGGGACCCCCACCTGCGCCTGCGCCCCACGGGCCCAGTCCCCCGCCGCCCGGGCCCCCAGGCTGCATCGCGTACCCCAGCGGCGCGCTGTCGCTCCGCGCACGACTTGCGCGCGGCTTCGGCGGCGAGAGCGAGTCGACCGACGCCGCGTGGTGCGGGTGCGGGCTGCCGTTGGGGTGCGCCGAGTGCGGCGTATGCGTGTCGTCGCCCGACATCATGCGCTGCCGCTTTGAGCTCGCGCGGCCCTGCTCCGGCTCGTCAAACATCTCCATAGTGATGGAGCCCGGGGACGCGGGGAGGGGTGACTGCGAGGTCTCGCCGCGCGAGAAGGACATGTGCTGGAAGCTCTGCTGGCGCGAGAGCGAGTGCGAATGTGCGTGCCCGTGTCCGTGGTGCGAGGGCGCCTGATGGCCCTGATGTTGGCCAAAATCGGACCCCGGCGGACTTGGGTCGTACCCGCGTGGCGTGGTCACGAAAATCGGTGGGTCTAACAGATCCACAGGGAACGGCGGGACTGCGCGGGTGCGTTAGGCAGGTGCCGAATATGGAACAATAGAAAAGTCTAACCACTTCCCGGGCCAAAGCCTTTGCCGACCAATTCCCAGAGGCGACTAACCACCGAGACGAGTTTTTCGACGCGACGGCGCTCGGCATTGAGTTGCTCCCACATGCGCTGGTTCTCCTCGCGCATGGCGCCGAGCTGCGCTGCCACCTGGACGCGGAGTTTAAACAAATAAGAAGCGCGAACGAGCGACACACCTCTCCCGGCAGCTCAACGCGGTGCTTGAGCGCTGGATCGGGCTCGAGCGCCTTACGCTTAATCTCGTCGAGGAGATCGGGGCGGCCGCGGAGGAACTTGTGATGAGAGAACTCCCAAGTCTGGGCATCAGACGTCGTGCGCTGCGCGCGTGGCGTGCGATTGATCTTGTGAAAGCCGTACATATTAAGCTGTCGCACGAAACTCGAGAACTAGAGATAGAATAAGCGGAAAGCTCGAAAAACGAGGGGAGGCCGAAGCGATGATGCGCATGCTCGGTGTCATGTCACGGAGAAAAGCAAGACGCATGACACAGCGGCGCGTGGATCGCAGCGGGAAGCATACGTACATTGTTGTGCTTGAAGTGACTTCCAAGGATGCTGCGACTGAATTCGCCGACATTGTTGACGACAAAAGAAGTGCCGAGATCAGTCCAGGAGATGAAGTGAGAGGATTTCGCGTCGGTGATCATCTGGTAGAGCTTTGTGACGAAATTATTTGTAGCCATAGGCTTCCCGAGAACGCCCATGGTCGGCACCAGAGTGGGGACGGCGATCTTTGCATCGTCGCCGCTGCCAGAGCTACCCTCGACGGGAGAGCTGCTCGCATCATAGGACACGATGCCCATGTCCATGTCGTCGTAGCCGGCGCTGGTGGGGTTTGCGCTTACCGGAGAACCTGGACGGGGCGACAAAGTGCCGCTGTCAGTTGTAATGCGCAAAGACGGCGTGGTGATTGGGGTGTGTGCGCGCGACCCTGTCGGATTCGGAGGCGGATCCGATGAAAAACTGCGTTTTCTAGGCAACGTAGAGGTTGTTGAACGCGGCGAACCGGGGACATTTACGCTGACAGAGTCGTAGGAGGAATCGTGGTCATACGAGTCCTGAGAGTCGTTCACTGGACCTCCTCCGCCTTGGCCAAACTGGAAGGGGTGAAGATGGCTCCCGTATGCAGCTGGACTGATGGGTGTTACGGGGCTGAGAGCACCAGAAGGAGGGCCGATGGGCGAAAGATTTGTGGGGGAAGTGACGGAGAGGGACGCGATGTTGAGGGAAAGGGACGAGGAGGAGCGGTGGACCTGCGGGGACTGCTGGAAGCCAAAGGAAGGATATTGCTGCTGCTGGTGAGGGGGCCAGCGGCCGTTGTAGTGGTTTTGGCCCTCGTAGTCCATGCCAGCGTAGTGGAAGGTACTCGAGAGTAATCTAATCAGGATTCAGGATATGCTTCCGCGATTCCTTCGCACGCTATATAGACAGCCGCACACTTATGTCCGCAATTTGCGACTTCAAATTTACAGGGCCCAATCTACAACTAATGAAAGCCACATTGCAATGAGATTATAATGTTTCACTTTCTCAAATTGCGATACAAAGTACTGCGTCGGTCTACTTCATACGCCGCACTGGTGATCGCGCCGTACCTATCGGGTTACCGTGTTGTGGCTATGCAACCTGTGCCAAGCTAGGCGCCCAAAGGCGCCCACCGTACACAGCTTCAAAATTTCGGGGGTTTATATCCCACGTCACGGTGTTCCGCTCGTCCTGCGTCCTGATCAAGGGCACCATTGAATGAGCATGTAAAAATGTGGTTCTTGGTGGCGCTCCCGCTGTGTTAGAACACCGTGAACGGCAGACCGGCGTTCTATGCTGGCCAAAGAACGTGACCTGATCCCCACGAACGATCGGGCAAAGAACCGTATTCCGACGTTTTGCGCGACACTG